TAGATAGATAGATAGATAGATAGATAGATAGATAGATAGATAGATAGATAGATAGATAGATAGATACCTCCCTTACATTTATTTGCATAACGTCATGAGATGCTGGGATTCATATGTTCCTTTTTCTCTCCCATTACCAGTTGTTTAGTAGAAGAAAAAGAATGTCCTGAGGCTAAACTGCATAGCTTACCAGCCATTATCACTCTAATATTTAATCTATTTTGTTTTGATTATATATACCACTATCTATGGAAGTACTATGCAGCCATCCTAGATACTAGATAACCTATTGCTTCATTTCATCAAAGGATATTTGAGAAGTACAGGTCAATGAGTTATACAATATAGAAAATGTGTAGGAAGAATACCTGAAAATTGATTCATTTCAATTTAGAGTGAGGTCAAGCCCTCCTTATTGCTTAGAGATGCTGTAATCTAACTCATATGTTCCTTTTCTGGTAGAGTTTTGTGGTTTCCTTTCCTTTTTCCTCCCTCCTCCTCCTCCTCCTCCTCCTCCTCCTTCTCCTTCTCCTTCTCCTGCTCCTCCTTTTAAAAATCTGGAGTCTCCAACATGCTCACATGTTTAGATGCAGTAATGAGAAATTAAATGCAGGATGTATGAATACCTAGACATAACTTTGAATAGTTTGCTTTTAGCCTTTGTTTGGTTGATTGATTGATCAGTTTATATAGCTGCCCAATCAATGTGCAACTCAGGGTGCCATTCAAAGTTTTAAAAAAAGAAGACAGTAAAAACAACATTAATTGTAATAAAACATATTCTGCCAGAGGCAACATCAAGCAACCCAAAACAACCCAAAACAAACTCTACTATTAGAAAAACATGTGCATGTATCAAATTGTTGTACCTGGGAGAGGCGAGATGAGATAGCAGATTTCTACTTCTCCCAAGACCAGCAGCTGCTGGAGGAGAATTTGCAAGCTTCAAGAACACCTGAAGACATATCTGATTACAGTGAGAAGGTAGAAATAGGTTAGGGTTATTCTATGAACTAAGCTCAATTTCACAGTTTAAGGATCCAAGCTATAATTGTTTCTGCTAAACTTTAATGTCACCACATGGAAATATATGTATGTTTAAATTATTTTTAAAATAAACATGGCTTACCCAGGGTTATATAATAATTTGATAATTTATTATATTATTTACAAAATAAAAGACATAAGAATATTCAACCAGCTAGTAAAAGAAAAGAAATAAAACAATTACAAATAGAATATCAAAAACTTTGAATGTTTTTAATGAGAACTCTTTCATTTGGTGTTGAAATAAAAACAATATTGTCACAAATAAGTCAAGATACTACCACTTTCTCTGTTGAAGATCTTAATACAAAAGCATGATGGTATGCGAGAAGGTGCTCTTATAGGTATTTGGTGTAATACAGCTCCATTTCAATAAATTAATTTGATTCGAACTGCTGAACCTTTCCCAGATTGGAACCTGCAAGCTTTTTTTCAATTGCATCCCTAAATAGTATGCATCATATTAATCCAACAAATAGATCATCATACAGCTTTACCTTGGCAAGGCCATTCCTTCCCAGGAAAGACCACAGTTCATGACTTACCTAAAACTGGTAAAAAGTCTCCAAGATGCTGAAGATATTAAAGAGCATGAAGAAGGGGGGGGGGGGGGGGAAACAAACTTGCCCGTTAGGTCATGCAATCAAGCAAAAAACCCCAG